CCCTAACAGGATCCCACTTATCAAAACTTTCTGAATTCCAGTACAGAAGGTACATGTGCACCATGAAAAGGTCCACATATACAAAAATTTGAGGAAATATTTTTTTTTTCTTGAAACTACAAATTCTGACTGGTATTAGCAAACAATTTTTTTAAACAAAAAGCTATACACTATGAAGATCTTCTACACCTCCAAGTGGTTTATTTAGACTACAAACTCCTCAAAGTAAGGGCCTGTCTTCCTTTCAGTTTCATTTGGGAGCGTATGTATTAGCAGTACTTCAATAATGCTAGCATGTTACTGATATACAGTAAAATATGGCATTCCATTGTTATCAGAGACACAAAAGCTCTATTTTAAGATATAAAAAGTGATGTCATGTAGCAAAATTGAACCACATACACAGCTTCAATTATCAGAAGCTATGAAAAAATCAAAGGGCGAGTCCACATAAGTACACATGTGCGTCTTGCAACGTCTCAAAACCCAAAGCCCACGTCCCTTTGAGACACTGCGAGAGGCACGTGCAGGAGCGAGAAAATGTCAAAATTAGACCCTGGGACATTCAGGGGTCAAAAAAAAATATATTTTTTTTAATTAAAATAAATAAATAAACAAATAAATAAAAACCTGGTGAAAAAAAGCGGGGCAGGGCAACTGGAGGATCAGTGCTCCACAGAGATGCTCTGGTAGCCTGCCAGACAGTCTCTGTGGTTGGCCCTTTCCTCAGTGCTGAAATGCACTGCCTACAGTGACCAGGACCTGGACTCTAGGGCTGTGCGAACCCTCAGTACCCGATTAGATTCGGCAGAGATTCGGCCCAATTCGGTGGCCAAATCTCCAAATCCGAATCAAATCAGACCTTTAAATCTCTTCGAATCGAATCAGAACCTTCTGAATCAATCACAGAGATTCAGAAAGATTCAGTGATTTGGATACAGACACAGCTTTAAATGTTTTTCCTACATACCTCAAGGTACCAGGCAGCTCGTGAATGCTGCAGTGGTGGGGCAGATGGAGCGTCCCACAGGAGCGCAAGGGGCTCTCCAGCACGTTCTACAGTAGACCCCGAAGTGGACCAGAAGCACTTCTGGTCCACTTCTGGGTCCACTGAGGAGAGTGCTGGGGGGCCCCACTGCGCCCCTCCGGCACCGTGACTGGCATCTCCTGGGCCTGGCAGGGCACCCAGGGTCTTCCTGTGGCCGACTGCCGAGCTGGGGAGTCACAGGGAAACCCCCCAGCATGTTCCCCAGAGGACCCGGAAGTGGAGCAGGGGGCTGCACCAAGCCGCAGGCTGAGCGGGGGGCCTGGAGCCGCCGAGCTGGGAGCTGTACCTGGCTGTGGGGTGAGTGGAGGGGGCTGGAGCCATGTGGAGGGGGCGGCCGGCGGACGCACCCCCCCCCAAGCTGCACTCCCCGTGGTCCCCTGTACCCTCAGTATTCCCCCCTGCTCCTCCAGCTCCCCCCACTCCCTGGCATGGAGCCCAGGTCCCAGTTGCTGTGATGTGATCAGTCCATGAAGTGTGCAGAGGGGCTGCGCCCTGTGGGGGACAGGGGACCCACCCCTCCTGAGCAGCCCCTCATAGCCCCCTCTATACCCACATTCCTGGCCCTGCAGGCTTCCAAGTTGCTTTACAATTAAAACATTGTCCAACTGATCTTTCTCTGTCTCTCGTTTTGGTTGTGGAGGAACATAGGTTGTACTTTTCCTGGGATGACTGATGGAAGTCCTCCCCACAAAGTTTATGAACACTCCAAGTAATCCCCTTAAATATGTTCCATTACCCCTTGGGATTTCCTGTTTTAAAAAACAGACCAAATCAAGGCACCAGTAAAAGACTACAGTAAGATCTGGAAGTCATGCTAAGCTGAGGCTTATTCACAACAGGTTAAATACCAAACACTGATGCTGACTTCACAGTGCAAGCATAGCTAGGCCATCTGAGAAGAAATACTGTGGTATCCCTTCCAGTTTATCTTCTGTATTCATAATAATTTCAAGCCGGTTTCTAGGTGCCTGATTACCCCTTACAACCTTATTTTTTTCCTGGCTGTTGATCAGTTTCTCGAGATGTTCGAAACCAGATACCCCTTGTCACTGAACAAGGTAATTCATTTAAATTGAAACTGTTTATATAACAGGATTTTCCTTGTCAATTACGGTGTAGGACCCTCTTGATTTACACAATTAAAAGAATGCTTTGAAGAGGCTGGACTAAGGGTATAAGAAAGCAGTAAAGCAGCAAACAGTGGACTTCAAGAGGGACAAATCTCTCTGACACCATCCACTGTTGTTTTCGAGAAGCTGGGGTAAACAGATCATCTCTTTTTGTCGTCTGTTTAACCTTCAGAGATCGTGCTAGGAACGTGGCCTGTCAACAAAACACCTGAGCGCCGTGGAACGGTAAGATCCCAGCTCACGCACGCGCTCTCTCTCTCTCTCTCTCGTTTTAATTGTGGAGGAACATGGGTTTGGGGGTATTTTTTACTTTAACTCCTACAACTAAGTGACAGTGTGTGCGCTGCTTCAATTCTACTGTGACATCACTTTTTGTATCATCAGTTTCACTGTATCAGTTTCCATCTGCGTTTATACTTTATGTAGTAACTAGCCAATTGCTCATCAAAAATGACTGGGGTGGGAAGGGGCTGGGATGGAGTGCTGTCACCTAACACCCCATGCTGCTGCTGTTCTGCCTCTTGTAGGGAGTGGGGTGGGGGAGCCAAGGCGAGCAGCTCCCCCACCCTCTGTCCGGTCCTCGGCGCAGCTTTGGAATCATGGCAGTGTTCCCCCATGCTTGAAGCACTCTGATTGGTTGTTTCTGTCAGCCAATCAAAGTGTGAATAAAACATTATGGACAGACAGAAAGACAGGCTTTTATAATATTAGAATGGGAGGAGAGCCATTATAGATAGGAAAATGATTGTACAATTTGGCAAGTAGACTCACGAGCAGTTGTAAAACTGGAAACAATTTTTCATTAAAAAAAAAACCTGATTAGATTTCAAATTCACAATAGCCTTTCCAGATGGAATTATCAGGACAGTCACAGAAGTAATTACTTAAAAAAAAATAAAAGCTTTCCCTTATTATAGCATTATGATGAAATAGCAGTAGTACACAGTTCCACAAAATAAGAGTGCTACGTAGCGAGAAAAGCTGTAGTATAAATGCTTCCTAGTGACATATACTGGCAAATAACCTTTATGTTTTTCCACAATTTTAAGAGAAGACAGAAGGAAGCAGTGTTATCTTCCAAGCTGATATTATACTAAATTGAGTGCATGACTCTTATTATACATAATAGAAACCCAAATAGCCAATAACCAATATTGTCACTACAGCTGTTGCTTTTAGACTAAAAGTTCTTTTAAATTGGGAAATTTTGGAAAGAAAATACCATACAATGAATACTTCTAGGAAAAAAACAAGTGATGTAGTGTTGCTAATATCAGGTTGTCCTCATTTTTACCAAAGAATATCCCTGCCCCAGGAGGTATTTAGGATCAGAAAAGCACATCTGCGGCTTAAATTCTCCTTGTTTAAAAAAAACAACAAAAAACGTACAGAACTGGGACTAATCCTGCCTCTGCTACAGTTGTGGATGATGGCACAAGAAACCTCTCCACACAGTATTCATAACAGAAAGCAGAGTAACATGCACACAGGGTGTAAGCTGACTGGGTCAGCAGTTTGAGGGTTAAGAAGTTGGCCTACTTTCATTTCCATAAGAGAACTAGTGAACAGCTTTATTCATAATTTTATATCACTTTTGTTAATGAGAATTCAATATTCTAAATAAACAGTATTAAATCCAACATGGTTTTACATGTAGCAGAACTAAGAAAAAATATATTAAAAAAAAAAAAAAGGAATGAGTAGATGGATTCAGAGTAAAAATAAAGAATTCAATTAAAAAAATATGAAAAGATATCTTTTGTAAAATAAAAGTACATTGAAATATGCTTACCGTTTGTAGATAGTAGGAAATGAGCAGCATTCTGTTGTGGTAACCACCTAATTTTATTAATTTTTTCCTCAATTTCTAGACTTTTCAAGTAATCAAACTCAGGTTCATGACTCTGAAAGGTACTGTAAACATTATATTCTCCCCTAGAATGAGGACGGCTTTTATTCTGTAAGATATAATATTCAGAATAATGTTAATATTATTTCTGCACAAAGAAAACAATATGACCATATATATAAGTCAAACAATTATTAATTACAACATTAATGTAAACTTGGAATTAAAAACTTAGGCAATTATCTTGACAAACTCAAAAAATCTGCTTGAACAACACAGAAGACCAATTACATGAGGAAAAACAATACAATTAACATTACAATGAAGTAAAATAAGCCAGCTGAGCAATAACATTACCTGGCTCCCCCTCTCCTCCTCATTGCCTTCCCTCCCTGCCCCTTTTTTTTTTTATGTTACTGGTGTAATCCCAGAAGCTATAAAAAGCAAAGTGCTTTGGAAAGGGTGCCATCGGTACAGGGGAATTTTGTTAATATAGGTAAACAAAAGTCCAAGTTGAAAGATTTGTCCACTGTACTTTCAAATGAGCTGGTGGGGAAGGCTACATATGCTTGATCAACTTCTCCTCACGGATCATGTGGCTCTAACTGATGCCCTTCCCTATTTAACCAGCCTCCATTTCTGTTGCTTCACTCTAAAAATCAAGGAAAAAGGGATACTGCACCAGAGCCAGCTACATTCCTTTGTTGCAGGAAGAATGTAACAGGCCCCAATGTATGGATATAATGCTGGCCACAGTTACTGAAATAGCAATAACTAAAAAACTTATGTTTAGCTCATTGTAGTGATACATGGTTTTTAAATGCTTTTAAAATATTATAATGGTTTATGAACATTAAAGATCAGTCTCTACCTACTAACGCTCATCAACATTTACTATATATAACACAGAAAGTGAGGCCTATATTTAAAGCTGCTCAAAACTTTGTTGTAAGACCCTGTTATCAGACACTTACACTTTCACTTTAAAATGTGTAGCCTGAAATTTTCCATGTTGGGTATCTGCTTGATGTATTTTCCCTCTGTCACTTACTTTTTCCCTTTCGCTTTTGAGAAAAAACAAAATGGTTCGGACATTTTGAGAACATATTGGGGGAAAACTCTTTTAAAAAAGTTACAACTGGTTTACTGAGAACCCAGTTAGAGCAGTGATTCTCCACCAGGGTGCTGTAGCACCATGGGGCACCGCCAGACCCTTTGAAGGGTGTTGCAAAATGTGAGGACATATGAAGGTAAGTGCAGGTTCAGACTCAGTCCTTGCCCAGCTGTTTCCCTCCACCTGGCCCCTCTGCAAGGAGGTAAGCACTGTAATAAGTAAGTTAGTTTTTGAAATAGTATGCCACTGAATTCACAAAAATTATGGAGGGGTGCCTTAAATACAAAAAGGTTGAGCACCACTGCTCTAGCGTACCCATGCTTTGGAGAAAGGACTTAATATTTGGTATGAACATTCAACTTGATGTCTGGGCGTGCTATTGAAACCCAAACAAATCTGACTGTTATAAACCTATTTACATATGCTCATTAGAAACCTGCTTGCATTTGATAGCTAGGTTTCAAAAAATTCTGTCTGCACTGGGCATGTGTCAGCCCAGGAATACAGGAGATAAGTAGGGTCCTTCTCAGCAAATGCTCTTTTCAGGATCCAGTAACTGCTAAAACACCCAACACCCAAAGGAAATATGGGAATTGCCTTTACTGTCCTTTCAATATTTCCTGTGTTACTGATCAAGGAAACTGGAGGAGAAGAAAGCAGCACAACTGGGACCCAAAGGAGTAGAGACAAGGATTGAGATGAAGAGCAGACAAAAAACAAGAAAAGGGGATGCTGGCCAAAGGAAGCTACCAGCTACCATCTAAGCTTAAATGCACACTCTTTTCAAAACATGAATTAAATCCAGATCTTTGAATCTCAATATTCCTCCCCTACTATCAAAGAACTGTGACACCTGCACATCATCTCCATCTAGCTCAAGGGTTGACAACCTATGACTCAAGAGCTGGATCTGGCCTGCAGAGCCATTTCATCCAGCCCACAGACTTGGGGCTTCAGTGGCATTCGGTACCAAGAGACTTCAGCTGAGGACATTCTCCCTGTCCCACCATGTGGAAAAGAGGAGGCTACAGCTGGGTACTAGCACCCACCCTCCCACCTCTGACCTGAACAACGTTGCTCCAGTTCACAGTCTAAACACAGTTGATCTAACCTCGCTGATGCACAGAAAGCGACAGCCTATTACAATTACTTACTTTTAAGCAGCGAGGACCTGTGCTGTGAACCTAAAGGTTTGTGATATGAGATAAAAGACAGGCTACAGAGGTGGGCAGATGAGAACAGGATGGGTTTCGATACAGACAAGTGCAAGGTATTGCACCTGGGGAGGAAAAACCAGCAGCATACCTTCAGGCTGCGGAACTCCCTTCTTGTCAGCACAGGAGGCTACATAATCACCTAGCTGGGGTCGTTTGACCCCAGCATTCTTTCCTGCCCACGGCAGGGGGTCGGACTTGATGACCTGCTTAGGTCCCTTCCAACCCTATCAACTATGAAACTATACATAAATTGTTTGCACGTAGCATTTATATGAAAAATGCATATACAAAGTGGACCCCAGATGACCACTGATTTCTACTGACACAAAAACAAACTAGCAATCTCTTTTAATGCACCAGGAGCAAAACATCAAAACAATTTATTTTGACAGGGTAATTGCTTAGTAGATAAGAAGGCAAGCAGATAATGAGATATATTTTGGATTCTGTAAGGCTTTTGCTAATCTTTTGTACAAAATGAACTAGGGAAATATGGCCTAGACCAGGGGTGGGCAAAATACAACTCACAGGCTGGATTTGGCCTGCCAAGGGATTCTATATGACCTGTTGGCAGGTCCCTTGGACCCACCCAGCTCAGGCGCAGGGGACACCCTGGGCTATGGTGGCTCACTCTGCCCAGCTGTCACTGCCAATTTCTCTTCTGCACCACTGGAGGTGCTGGATGGAGCAGGCCGACAGGGTCTCCATGGAGACTAGCCTGGGACTGCAAAGCAGTGACAGCGCAGGGGTAGGGCCCAGGGCAGAACCGTTATCCGCTGCCTGGCTATGCCCCAGTCTTTAGTACCCACACGGACTATCCTGCAATCCTGGCCCTGACCCCGCCCCATTCCCCACCTGCTCGTGGCCCCATTCCATCTTCCTGTACCAGCATGTTCCTGCATGTGGAGGTCCAGGGCAGTCTCCAGGGAGACCCCACTCACCTGCCTGCTCCATCCAGTGCCCCTGGGGATGGGTGCAGGGTGGACGGGCCCATGGCCTGACAGGATCAATTACCTCCCCCCCTTATCCTCTGCAACAGTTCACCAGAACTCCTTAAGCAGCCCTCCAGCCCAAATAATTGCCCATCCCTAACCTAGATGAATTCAACTTAAAGTGAGTATACACAGGCAGTTATCTGCAGTTTGCTGCTAAAATGGAAGGGTGTCACAGGTGGCACACTGCAGGGGTGTGCTTAGCCCAGTTCTATTAAATAATTTCACAAATGATATCAATGATACAAAATAGCATTTGCAGATGGCAGCAAGCTGGGATTTGCTGCAAGCATCCTGAAGAATAAGACCAGAATTCAAAATGAATTTGATAAAGTTTTGTTTTCAGACCTTCAAAGCTAAGTATAAAATTACTCACTTATGTCAGAAAAGAACTGTAATCAAGGCAACATCCCACTTGGCAAGAGCAGTCAAATAAATAACTTATTTTACAGCTACAGCACAAGGGGGAGTAATTAATGTAGGAGTTCCGATTGTGCTAGGCCATAGTAATGCTAAGTTATTGTAAGCTATAGTGCTGAAAAGCAATATGGGAGAAAAGAACCTCCTGACTGCTGGATGACCCAGTAAAAAAGAGAAAAAATTAAAATACACTAACGAGCAGAAAAAAGACATTGAAGGGAGTATGAAAACAGTAGCTACAAATGTCAAAGTTAAAACTTACTAATGGAAGTGGAGGTGCATAAACTTGACAGACAAAACAAATAAACATGAACATCTTGACAGTGTGAGATAAGACTGGGGTGGAGGGGAGGGTGGGAGGTATGCAAACATAAATACAGGAGTTAGGAGACCTGTTCCTCATAGAGACCTAGAGGAGTGTGAATAACATAGTGTCTCTACCTGTCAAGGGCAAGCTTCACTAAGTTGGACTGGCATGCTGTCCAACAATAATAAACCTTTCCGAGCTTTCGCCACTGAACACGTATTAGAGTTCTGTTTTCTGTTTTGCCTTCAGGACCTGGAAGATGGCTTGCTAGCATTAGCCTTTCCAAACATACAGGCTTCAGCAGTGTGTACATCAAAAGCGAAAGCAGCCAGATACCACCCAAAAAAAAACACTCCACATGCCTCAGAACAACAATCAAAACATCTAGCTGTGTAAGACGCTATAAGTCTTGGTGGCTTTTGGTGTAACACTCCAGCATACTGTTTATGCAGGCTTAGAAAAGTAGTTTATTTGCATCCTTACATTTTCTCCCCACTCCACTTTGCTGGTTGATACCGATAGTTGATTATTAACCAACCATATTGGTTGATACTAATCTGATAACTGATTTACAGGAATGCAGCTGGGCAGCGTGGAGAGCAACTCCCTGCAAGTAAGTCTGTGGAAGGGAAGGGGTAGATTGAGACCCCCATGGTGAGGGAAGAAATGGGGCAGGGGCTTGGGGGCATTGCCCAGCCAGGGTGGTGAATGGGACCTGGGGCCAGGGCAGGGAGGACAGAGCTGCAGGTGGCTTGTCCAGGGAATCAGCATCCCAGCACTTAAAAATGGCAGTGGCGGTGTTTGAACTAAAGCACATCAAATTCAAATAAGCTTTAGTTCAAATGCCACTGCCACCATTTTTAAGCACAGGGACACTTTTGACCGGAGCAGAGCCGAGCAGCGTGAGGGCAGATGCAGGCTGCCTGCTGTGGGCTCAGGGCTCTCTGCTCCACTGCCTTTGCCCTGGGAGCTCCACACCAGCTGCAAGCCCCCTGCCCACCCAGCAGCAGGAGGCACAACTTGTCACCCCCAGCAGTGCCACGTAGGCAGGGGATATGCGGCCAGCGTGGTGCTCCAGAGGGAAAGGCAGCATAGTGGAGAGCCCCAAACCGACAGTGGGCAGCCCACATCCACCCTGTGCACAAATCTGGGCGAGCACATATCCCGCCCCATGCCTCCCCTGGGGGTGTGTGCACAGAGGTTAGAAGTCACCCCTACCCTCCCCACCCCCCAGACAGGCCACCCGCAGCTCTGTTCTGCTCCCTGCCCTGGCCCTGGATCCCATTCACTGCCCTGGCTGGGCAGCACCCTCATGCCCTGGGCCCTTCCCCACTCTCCCCCTCACTGTGGGGTCCTCAAACTGCACCACCCACACCCCTTCCTTTCCCTATACTCCTTCCCCTC